AAAGAATGTTGTACTTATATTCCAGATAATTCAGAAGAAATCCAGGATTTAAGTAAACATATTTGAAAAGAAGCAGCTAAATTGCATGAGTCAGATAGTTGGAATTTGAGTTCTTGGTTTAGCTCTATTTTCAGTTCCTTAGGCTCCACCGTCATTCATAGTTTGTTGATATTGTTTGTTGTTTTTATTGGAGTATGCCTAGTGTTTATGATAATACAATGTTGCTTAAGCTATGCTGCCAAGCAAATGAGGAATAGCCCATCAACCAGAAATGAAGTATATAATTTGTATGTTGAAATAGCAGGAAGTAAAGAGAAAGAAAAACTAGAAGTTGAAAGGCTAATGGCTATAAATATCTAACTTGTTGGAAAAAAGAATTAGGGAATGCAGAAGTAAATTTAGTTGGGCTTCTAGCCTACTTGACTAAAAAAACAGACTGAGACCAGAAGTACTGATACTGCTTATTTCAGTTACATGTTTTGAGATAAGAAATCCTGCATGTCTTATTACCCTGTGCACAGATGTCCAATTAAGTAAACTTGTTTTAATTTCTCCAAGGTCATATTGTTTTTCTCTTTATCTGTTTTAAGTATAAAAATGCTTGAAAACTCAGGAGGAGGATTCCTTTGAAACAGACAAGTGGGTGATTCCCCTTGCTGTATGGAATCCTCCCTGTGATCACAGTATAGCCCTAAATAAAGAAAAGCTGGCTCTGTCAGTTCTGATTCAACCACAACGCGAAGTTTGATTTCGTCCACAACAGGAACACTTTGTTTTGACGTAGATACAGTACCATGGTGGTAGAGAACATGTCAGAGGACTGAAGTATGCAAAAAATTCTTATTTGATACCAAAGTTTATTATCAAATTTCTCTAATTCCCTGCAGAGAAAAAGCTTTCCACTTTTTACTGAGAGTTGATTTGATGTTCTGAAGACTGACATTGAGTGTGTTAACCCCCCCCACCCCTCCAATTTTACAACTTTTAGTGGCTGTTAGTTTAAGCTAATGGTGCTCAAGGTGTGGCCTGCAGGCCTCATCTGGGCCCCAAAATGACTAGATCCAGCCCATGGCACCAAGGGATCAACAGCAAGTAGTTCAGGCCAGCCTGTCCACTTCCATGCCCTGTGCAATGCCCCTTATTCTCTTCATAGCCAGGGATAAGTTCTTTTCCTCTCTCACTGTCCTGCAGTATTGGCAGTCACTGCCCTCCCCACCTCCCTTACTGGAGGGGAGAGGTGGCTTGTGGTATAGCTGGGTCACAAGTACCTGGCCCACCTCTCTAAGAGGCTGAGCTCCATTGGTTTTAACCAGCATGAAGGATTTTAGACTGACACTTTGTTTAAATCACAAACAAGGATTTGAAAAAAATTGGTATTGAATTTTGTGATGTATGCTCTCTAGGTTTGTTATTGTAATTACAAGTATTTCTTGTTTCAGGGCCCAGTCTGAAAAAGTGCTGAGCCATCTTTAACTCCTGTTTAAAGACGGGGGTGCTCATTACACCGGAAAATTTTATCCATAGTCAATTCAATGAGGTGTGAATCTCTGCAGAGTTGTACTTTTCCTGTGTATAATATATAGTTTTTGTAACTTAACTTTTTTAATAGTATAAATTTGTATAATGGAAAAGTGTCTACTGTGGTGCTTTTATTTGAAAAACAGAAGAATTGGGGACTTGCCATTGACCATCAGCATGTACAACATTTGTAAGAATTATAAACTGAAGAATTACACAATACTGGGAACTGAAGTTCCTGTACCAGTTTTCCTGATTGTATTATATCCTCTTAATGTGTTTCACATAGGAAGTACTAGTCATAGCTTTCATAGACATTAGGGCAGGAAGGGACATCATAAGATCATCGGGTCCATCCACCTGCCCAAAGGGCAGGAAGTCAACTACAGTCAAAGGATCCCAGCAGGATAAGCATCCAAATGTTTACTAAAAGTTTCCAGGGTAGGTACTGGCACCACCTCTGGAGGAGTCTATTCCAGGCCTTGGGGGGGGCTTGGACAGTAAAGAAGTTTTTCCGCATGTCTGGCCTAAAACAGTCTTGCAGGAGTTTGTGACTGTTGGACTTTGTCATCCCTTGGGGAGCTCGGGTGAACAGGCATTCCCCCAGATCCTGATGCACACCCCGATGTACTTATAGGTTGCCACCAAGTAACCCCTGCACCTGCACTTCGCCAGGCTGAAGAGTCCTGTGGCTCTCAGCCTCTCTTCGTAAGGCCTGTTGTCTTGCCTTCTGATCATGCACATGGCTCTCCTTTGGACTCTTTCAAGCTTCCCCACATCCTTCCTGAATTGTGGAGCCCAGAATTAGAGCCAGCTGTGGCCTCACCAAGGCTGAGTACAGCGGGATGATAACATCATGGGTCTTGCTTGAGATGGATCAGTAGGTGCTAACCAGAGTTTTGATCGCTTTGCTGGCTGCAGTATCGTATTGGTGGCTCATGTTCATCTTGTGGTCAATCATGACCCCCAAGTCTCTTTTGTTCATGGTGCTAGCGAGTGTAGCATTACCGAGCCTGTAAGTGTGATGTGGGGTTTTTTCCCCCCTGAGGTGGAGCACCTTGCATTTCTCTGTATTGAATGCCATCAGGTTTTGATGCACCCACCTTGCAAGCTTATTGAGGTCAGCCTGGATCACCAGCCTGTCCTCAAGTGTGAATACTCTTCCCCAAAGTTTGGTGTCGTCAGCGAACTTGGCCAATCAACTTCTGACACCAGAGTCCAGATAATTTCTGAAGACATTAAAGAGTACAGGTCCGAGAACGGAGCTTGGGGGGGACACCACTGGTCACTGAGTGCCATGATGATTAGGTTCCATCAACTACTGCTCTCTGGGTCTGGCCTCAGAGCCAGTTCCCCAGCTATCAGACTGTAGTGTAGTCAAGGCTGTAGTTGCCCAATTTTTCCAGGAGGATATCATGGGACACCAAGTCAAAGGCTTTTTTGAAGTCCAGATATATGATATCAATCTATTCCCTTTTGTCTAGGTGATACGTCACCTAGTCATAGACAGAAATGAGAAACCTGTGCTGGCTATCCCTAAGAATGTTCCCTTCTGTTAGCCTGTCAAGAATGGTTTATTTCCAGAAATTGAGGTCAAATTGATTGGCCTGTAGTTTCCTGGATCTTCTTTCCTCCCTTTCTTGAAGATAGGCACCACATGAAGTCTTTCATAACTGAAGCTTGTATTTTTACAATAACACCTTGGGCTTATCTTCATTGAGGCAAAGACTTGGTCACAGCAAGTACAGAGGCCAAGAATGCTTTGGCCACTCATGGCCCCTGATGTACTGTAAACCTCAAATGAAGCAAGATAAACTGCCCCAGGCTCATCCCCAGTGGTTGCTTTCAGTCACAACAGAGCCTGAAGGCTTGAGGGTGGGCATAGGGAGATGAGTGCAGAGCTGTATTGGGGTATGCATATACATGCAGATGGATGAGACAAAGAAAGCCCCACTTTTTTCCAGACCTGCCACCCCTTGATATAGACCAGCCCCTTAAAGGTCCTCACAGGGACTTAAACACTTGACATATCCATAAGCAAGTGACTTTGCCATAACCATGTACCTACTTTGGTAAAGTGGGACATTAACTCAGATATACTGGACTGTGAAACAGGATATTTAACAAGATCCAATTTTGACAAGCAAAGTCTTACATGTGTGCACCTGCTTCGGTGACTGTCTTAGAAGATGTGGAAGCAAGATTTGAGAGAGAGGTAATAATAACTTTTACTGGGCTGACTTAATAGTTGGCAAGATTTCATGCATAAAAATGCCTACCTAAGCTAATGAGAGGTAAGGATATTATGGGGCGGGGGGTGATATCTGTTATTGGACCAACTCCATGGTTGGGAAAGACAAGCTTTTGAGCACAAAGTGCTCTTCCTCAGGTCTGAATAAAAAAAAATGATATTCCTTACTTATCCCAGGCTGCTTCAGCAAAAGTAAGGAGTATCATTTTTTTTCAAACCTAAGGAAGAGCTCTTTGTGTTCAAAAGCTTGTCTAAAATCTCTCCTAACCATGGGGTCAATCCAATAAAAGATTTCACCCTCTCCTCCTGCAAAATGTCTTTGCCCCTCACGTATTTCCATGACCACCATGGCAACAACATCACTCCAGCAATACCACATAAGCTAACAACATCTGGCTGACACCTTTGTTAGGAAAGCCCTTAAGAGCATGCTTGGCTTTAGGTATCTATTTAAGTTCGACTGAGTACACACTCATTTTCTGTTTAGATCAAGCAGAATTTTAAAAAGCTGGTTCAAATCAACAAATGAATTTTAAGCTAAAGGTCCAAGTTGTGCAAAGGTATCAGAAGATGCATTTAAACCAGGGGTGGGCAATTATTTTGGCTGGAGGGCCACTTAATGAATTTTGGTAACCTGTCAAAGGTCACATCCTTCCTGTCCTGTCTCGCCCTCCCTCCCTCTAGAACCTGGCCAGAGCTTTAGTTCTCCAGAACCAGATGGGGTGGTGGCATCAGCTGTGGGCACAGTCAGCAGGTTCGGGAGCCCTGACAGAACTTGCTGTGTTGTCCACAGCTGATGCTGCCACCTGCCCAGAGCAGCAGATGCTTCCAGCAGGTTCCAGGTTGGGGCTCCATGCAGGAACTTTTGCTGCACAGGGAAAGCAGCAGCGTCGGCTGTGGACACCGCTGGCAGGTTCTGTGTCAGGGCTCCTGAACCTGCCGGTGGCATCCACAGCTGACACTGCCACCCAACCACTGTGACAGAAGCCCCGACCAGGTCCACAGCTGATGCTACTGCATTAAGAGTTGAAGCTACTGGGCACCCATGGGCCAGATCCAATAAATTGTTGGCCACCCACCCATGGGCTGGATCAAATCTGTTGGTGGGCAAAATCTGTATTTTGCCCACCCCTGATTTACACCACTAACATAGCATGACTGGATTTTGAAGGTCTGAACAACTCATCGTTATGTAGTTTCCTTCATTTTACTATCATAAGGTTGCTTAAATTAGCTGAAACTAGCTTTTATCAAGCAAATATGCCATAAACTTCTATAATATTCTCAAATATCCCTGAATATTCCAAAACTTCTCTAACTGCAAGTTAATTGTCATGCTGCATATAATAAAAGCAGCCATGAGTTTGGCCTATTAGTTTAGTTGCAGCTTCTGAAGAAGAGTGAAATTTAAATAAGTATGTACGTGGTGCTTGCTTGCATTTTTTCAATCAAAAGTTAAGGTAGGATGAGTATGCTTTCTAATACACCCCTTCAGGTTAAATTTGAAATTTTTAACTTTGTATATAGATAATTTTACTCCACGATGATAACTTTTCCTCTACTTCAAGCTCCTGCTCCTGCTCTGAAATCTTTATAGCAGGGGTGGCCAACCGGCAGCATGCATGCCACAAGTGGCATGGGCAGTCTCTGTGACAAGCAGCACATTATGAAGGGAGCAGGGAACACAGTGTCAGTTTAGGCAGGGAGCACAGGACAGAGCATAAAGCAGAGCAACAGGTCAGGCAGGAAACATTGGGCAGAACAAGTAGAGTCAAGTTAGTCACAAAGCCACTGTGACCATTGGAGCACCTTACATGCTGTAATAACCCTCCGTTAGTTGAGTTGCTTTGCATCATTGGTGATTCTTTGGGCCTGGTGGCACCCATCTCCTCTCCAGGTATGAGTGGCTGTTGGCTTGCAGGGAGCTCATCCACCTTTTGACAGGTCTTGTTTTTAGTCCTGCTGGCTGTCCACGCACCCTCCTCACCCAGGCTAGCCCAGGAGGGGGCACCAACAACCCAACCATGGAACAAGATGTACTGGTTTACATGGTACCAAATAGCAGACCAAGAGAGGCCTGGCCTGACAGGGATTCTTTGAAGAAATGAACAAAAAAGAAAAGATTATGTGACAAGTGCAAAAATTGTAAGTAATGAATGGAAAGCTGCTTTGAATGAAACCTCATATGTAAAAGCACAAGGGTAGAAGTGACTAGGATTTAGATGAGGACCTCAGGGATTCTGAATTAATGAAAGAAATGCAAGGTACTTCAGAATTAGAAATAAGGAGTCATAGAAAAAGTCCTTAGAATATTTTGGTAATTAAATTAATTATTACTGTATTTTCTCTCATGCAACACATACCTTTGTGTTTCCAGCTGTGTTCTTTGATGGTAAAGGAGCACTCTTGGAGAAGCTGTGCATGCCAGGCAGCTGCCAAGATGGCTTGGGTTTGTGTCTGCTCAGAAAACTAGAGAGGCAGTCTGTGTTAACCCGCTCACAGCCATAGCTACAGTTTGTGCCTGAGGCAGCAAGTGAGCTGTTGGTAGTATCTCGTTAAGGCTTGTGGTGTGGAAACAGCACCTTTATTTACAGGCAATTTTATAAAGTCTTGCTACTGCCCTTTGCAAGTGTCTGGGGTCTAAGACTGTCCTCCAGAAAATATAGAGTGCCCAGGAAATGTGGCATCACAGAAGGCAAGTGTGTCACACCAAGATGTTCCTGATGTCTTCCTGGACACTCCATTTCCAGGAGGACTTA